GTAGTTTTATGAGTAGAATTCGAAGAAGACATTTATGACTTAAAACTCCCTGCACGTCCCCTTCCCCCTTGAGCACTAAGCATATAACCCCCAGCTTCATACAGCGAAAATGCAGCTCTCTGTGCCCACAGGGTCCTGTCCCATGCAAGCTAACTACTCTAAGTTGTACTGTACAACGTCTCAAGGATTCTTTCTTGGCCATTGTGCTCAAGGATCTCACAACACTAGTGATGTGGGGGGAAAAAGCAGAAGAAAAAAGATTCAATTTCCTTACAACTTACAGCCTATTGACAAGTCCCTGAGACAGGCAGAGTGACTGACATTCCTCTGGGAGCTCAGCTGTCTCAGTGATGACACTTTGCTAAGGGCAAAAAGCAGTCTTAGCTTAACATTATCCCCACCTTTAGGATCCTGTAAGTCTACTTTAACATATAAAAATTCCTTTGAAAACTTCCCTTATCTTCCCCCCCCCCGGCCGCCCCAGGATATAGGTTGGCAAACATATTCCAAGCTTATGGTCCACTCATGTACATCTGAAGGGTCTCATGACTGAGGTTTTATTAGACAGTAAATGACCTTTTCCTAAAAGTAGCTAGCCTCCTCAGGATCCTGGAAACCTTGTTTCCAAAATACCTTAGAGACTTACACTATCCCTGACCCCCTGCAACCTGAAGGTATATAATCAGTCACCTGTCACAACCCCAGTGCAGCTCTTTCTGCCCATGGGTCCTGTCTCCCTGCTTTGATAAAACCACCGTTTTGCACCAAAGACGTCTCAAGAATTCTTTCTGTGCTTCAGACCACATCACTAGGACAGCTTTGGATTGGGGGTGGTGGGGACACCTCTGGTGTGCCTCTGGGCTCCTGCATCCAGCTTGCTTTCTCACTGGCAAGGCTGTAGGAAACCTTCATTTGTCCCTTCTTGTAGTCACAAATTTCCCCTTTTCTTTTCTATGACTTGCTATAGTCATTAATGTTATCTTATGGATAAGGAGGAGGATTTAGGCTGCCTGTGCTTCAAAAACAATGTTTGCCAAACCCTGGCTTTTAATTCCACAACCCTCTTGTCTTACGTTATAATGTATAACTTTAGTATTAATTCATTGAAAGGCATTTATTTGAATCCTTAAAGGTCAAAAGAACACAAAGCGGAGGAGATATCTCTACATCTGTCTATCATGTGTCGTCTGTCGGCTTTTACACACAGAGACTGTCCATGGACGGATACATAAGTCGCTGGAAGTGATTGTTTTTAGGGAGGATGATTCAGGTACAGGAACAGGAGGGAGTTCTTTTTCTTACTACTGCTTGGAATTTTTACCATATTCATATGAACTATTAAAAAAAGGGTAAGCTGAGCCTGACACGTTTTAACTTGTGTCTCCAAACGCTTCCCTTGAAGTCCTAACCCTCAGGACCTGAGAATGTGATCTTATTTGGAAATGGGGTCTTTGCAGATGATTTAGGATGAGGTCATTGGGGCGAGCACTAATCCAATATGACTGTGACTGTGTCCTTATACAAAGGGAAAATTTGGGCATACCTGTTCAGTTGGTGGAGCATTGGACTCTTGATTTGGGCTCGGGTCATGATCTCACGGTCATGAGATCAAGCCCCGCATCAGGCTCTATGTTGGGTGTGGAGCCTGCTTCTCCGTATCCCTCTCTCTCTGGCCCTCCCCTGCTTCTGCATGCACTCTCTCTCTCTCAAAATAAATAAATACCGCTACTGCTACTCTTTAAAAAGTAAAAAATAACAGGGGCGCCTGGGTGGCTCGGCCGGTTAAGCGTCCGACTTCGGCTCAGGTCATGATCTCACGGTCCGTGAGGTCGAGCCCTGCGTCGGGCTCTGTGCTGACAGCTCAGAGCCTGGAGCCCGTTTCAGATTCTGTGTCTCCTTCTCTCTCTGCCCCTCCCCTGTTCATGCTCTGTCTCTCTCCGTCTCAAAAATAAATAAACGTTAAAAAAAAAATTTTTTTAATAAAAAAAAAAAGTAAAAAATAACAAATAATGAAAACAAAAAAATAGAAAGGGGAAATTTGGGCACAGACATACGTGGGGAGTAAGCCATACGGAAATTGGAGTTATGTGGCCACCAGCTAAGGAATGATCAGAAGCTAGGAGAGAGATCTGGAATAGATCCTTCCCTAATTCCTTCAGAGGGAACATGGCCTTGCCAGCACCTTGATTTTGGACTTCTGGCCTCCAGAACTGTGAGACAATACATTTCTGTGGTTTAAGCCGCCCAGGTTGTGGTACTTTGTTATGGTGGCCCAAGGAATCTAATACAACTCGTGACCAAACGTTAGCAGAGGCTCCAAAGAAAGGGATTGGATTGAGGGGAGAAGGCGGTGGGTGGCACAGAGTTGGTTAGGGAGGAGGTGAGGGGGGCTGCGTGCATAGCCTGGGCCACTCAGCCAGACCCCTGTACTTGCTCCTTTGCCTTGCCTTCCCTTCCTGGTTGTCTGCCTCGGCTCTCATCGGGGCAGGCTGCCCGCTGTACCTGGGCTTGTTGGCTGTCCAGGAACAGTGCCAGGTGTGATTCCATAACCCTAGGAGGCTAGGTCAGTGACAACGCCCCATCAGGATAAACCTCTTGGAAGGTGTCTCTGTGGTCACTGTAACCAAATACAGTTGTTTCTGAGGAATTTACTAATCTGTGAGTCACATCCTGAAACTCCAAATTTGTCAGACTGACTCAGGCTTTGCCAAGCACAGCAAGGAGAGTAAATTGCATAAGAATGACCGACAGTCATTAATCTTATCAGACTGTGGGGCCTTCCGAGATGCCAGAGTAGGTCTCTAAGGAAGCTGAGTCTGGACCACCATGGTTTTAGTTGGGTGAGTTTGGGGCTTTGTATTGTTTTTGTGGAGCCCTCATGTGTTCCCTGACTCCTGCTCTGGGGCCCTCGAGACTTCCTGCAGAGCACCGGGGGGTAGTTGCCTCCTCCAGCTGCCAAGGCAGACACAGAGGGCCACCCCTGGTTTGCCCCAAAGAAGGCACCTCCAGCAGTGCCTCTATGGCCCTGCCCCTGGTTGGATGGAGCTTGATCATCAAAAGTAAATATAAGAAGCAAAGACAAACATCCTAGCAAGGCTTTGGGAGCCTGTCATGAACAGGTGAAATGTCTTCAGGGTAAATGACATTTGACTACACTGGGAAGGGACTGAATAAGGCCCACTGTGTGGGCCACACGGTCTTCTCCACTTTGCAGACCCGCCTGTCCATTAGAATGTGTGGCTTGATCTTCTCCACATACCAAGAACACCTTAAAAAAAGCATTTTGAAACCAATGGAAACTCTTGGAGGAAGGTCTGCTAGTTACAGATTCCTGGGCTTGTCCTGAACGCCCTTAGGGGAAGGGCAAAATCCATCAGCATGTATTTGTTGAGAACTTCGTGTGGATTGAGACAGAAAGTGTGAGACCTTGGCCTGGAGCCTGGCATACTGCCCCTCCCCCTCCTCTCCAAAGATCTGTTCCTCCAGCTAATCTGAAGTCATTTAGCAATTCCCAGTGGCGGTGGACAGGTCTTAATTGTGTGGCTTTAGAATCCAGGGGCTCATCCCCACGGAAGACTGAATTTCCTCATTTAGACCATAATTTGTGGACACACACCTGGGTGTATCTGCCTCTTGGTCAGCTCATGTCACCAGTAGAGGGCTGGAGACAGGGCATGGTCCAGAAGGTCCAGGCCCAACAGACAGGAGGGGGATGTTTTGAGAGAAGAGGGGAGGAGGGGACTTTTCAAAGAGGGGCCTGCCCCCAAGGGCCTCAGGACAGGGACAGCCAATACTGGAGTAACCAAGGGAGACAGGGCCATGGGAGGAGGGCATACAGCAGGCTTGCGCCGCAGTGGCCTGTGGGAAGCAACTCAACAAGAGCCTCTGCCACTCAGAATGAGGAGAACGTGTGACAGGAGAAAGGAATGGGTCGTTTGCTGACTTGAGACATGTAATAGGTTGTCTCCGGAGAATCAAAAAGTTCCGGCTGAAGACCTCACGGAGTGCTCAGGCAGACCCTGTCTGTCTGCCTTCCAGCAAACGGCGAGGGAATTTGCTGCTGCCTTCCCGCCGACGGCAGGGCAGTATCTGTACACGGATTCCTGGGGTAGCACGTGGAAGGGCAGCCGTGGAAGGTGATGTGTCTGTATCCATCCCTGGAGAGAACGTGAGAGAAAATGCCACAGCATCTTTAGTGTTGTCAGGAGCCTTGTGCAGGATGGCCAGCTCCAGTTCCACCTGGTGCCAGAGTCCCACCTTCCCCTCTGACCCAGTTCTCTGGGCCCACGGAGAATCTACTGTTTTGTAAAATTCCTTGAGTCTGGATTTTCCCAAAGGGTGTTCTAGTGAAACCTTCTCTTGTGGTACGTGCCTCAGATATATTTGGGAAGCCTGGCACACTCTCCCTTCAGGAAGAACCACAGCACACATTAGCGTGTCAGAGACTCTGAGAAACTTGTACAGACCAACCGGCTGGTTTTGTCTAGCCCTCGTTTCTCCCCTTTTTCCACCATAACTTTATTAACATCCTGCCGACCCAGTGAATCCACTAGTCAGCAGACGCCACACTGATGGTTAGAAGATGTCGTGCGTATATCCTGTCCAGTCCTTCATGTGAGTGAAGCCTTCGGTGTCTGTTTGTGTGTCTCCGGCTGCTTCCTGACCTTCCTCCCCAGCTTCTTCACACCTTCATCTGCAGCCATTCTCTGGTCTCTTTACTTCTTGGTGACTCTCATGGGATAGCTCCAGGTTGTCTGTGTCCCTCTTAAGGTACTTCCTCCCAGTGTGACCCACAGGGGACCAACTTGGGCAGGACTGTCCTCCTTTTCTTTGGACACCATCTGGGGATTTGTGTTTCCTTTTTTAGCAGCAGCGTCCATGTCCTTATACGACAAACCCAGAGGTGAGGTCATTATCAACCACGGACAAAAGATATAAGATGGAGGCTAACGATTGCTGTGTCAGTGAACTTAAAAGGGCCTTGTGTTTTCTCCTCTTAGGTCATCTTTGCTTTGAACCAGACCCTCCTGCAGCAGGAGAGCCTTCGAGCAGGCAGCCTTCAGATCCCCTACACGACAGAGGATCTCATCAAACACTATAACTGTGGGGACCTCAGCTCCGTCATCTTCAGCCATGACAGCTCCCAGGTGAGGGCCCTTGTCCTCTGCACAGTTCAGTGTGGATTTAAACATGAGAACAAAGGCATTACCTGCTGACACCTGAATCTTCCATGTACAAAGGATTGAGGTCATAAAGGGCTCTAAAAATAAAATTGGGCAGGTTTAGATGTGGAATGAAATGCTGCAGCTAACAGAGCCATTCTTTATGATACGTGAGAACGGAGGGGGTGTTGATGAGAGTTAATTCCAGGATCCCAGGCAAAGGATGGAGCTAGGGATCCAGGGGCAGACCTCACGGCCTGGGCAACAGGCAGCATGAAGCCGCCTCCCGAGCAGGGAAGGGATCTGAGTCTGAAAGCCCCCGGCTGACTTAGGAAGCACTTCTGGGAAATGGTGGAACAGAACTCTGGCTGCAGCTTGCAGTGGCTTCTGGGACCACGTGAGCATGATGGGTTTGGATGTGTTCGTGGCCGGACTGGTGCAGCGAGTGACACACGGGACAGGTTTTACCTGTGGGCCATCAAGGGGAAGGAAGCTCAGAGGAATGCAGCCTCCCTATGGCAGGGATATTGGTTATTCTTTTATCAACGAGAGTCCCAGAGGACAAGCCATGACTTCCTCCCCTCCCCTCACCGAGACCACATGGCAGTGGCAATGCCAGCTGAGCTTCTGAGATGGGGCGTGTGTTGTCTCCTCCACCAGGACTACTGTCCTCATGCGGTAGGGGGCTGTGAGTGATGCCGGGGGGTCTGTTAGATCTGGGGACCCTAAGGAACCGTGAGTGAATGGCAGAGGTGAAAAAGGAATGGCAGCCTGGGGAGAGGAACAATAGGGATCCAGCGTCAGCCCCACAAGTGTCAGAAGATACAATGAGCTTTCCAGAGAGTCTGGAGCTGGAAGAAGTTAAACGAAGGCAAAGCAAGCAAGAGGAAGGGAAAACAAGAAATACCCGAAGAAAAGTAGTACAGTTGATGGTGATGACAATTCTTGGTGGGTGTGGGGGAAGTGGGGAGATAAGTCAAGATAGACGGGGAAATTAAAATTTGAAATGGCAGAGAAAAGCTAATATGGGTGGGAGGATTTGGGAGTTTTATGGGAAAATTGGAAGGCTGGTAGCAGTCAGGGACAGATGTCTTATGCAACCCTTTCCTGTGGCCCCTTCATACCTGTTCTGCTCACAGGGCCCGCCCATGGTGTGGGGTATTGGGAATGTGCCTGTCATGGTCCCAGGAAGGCCAGGCTGGTCAGGCCCAGGGGTGCGGGTTGTAGGTCATGTTTGGCACTTAGCTGTGGGAGGTCACCCTGCACGGGCTGCTTGCCCGTGGGGAGGGGCTGGTACAAAGGAAGCGCTCTGCTGAAGAGAAGGGACTTGGGGAAATGGATAGAAGGATCTCACATAAAGGACATGATTTTTAAAAAGATGACAAAGGAGGGGCACCTGGGTGGCTCAGTCGGTTAAGCGGCTGACTTCGGCTCAGGTCATGATCTCGCGGTCCGTGAGTTCGAGCCCCGCGTTCGAGCCCCGCGTTGGGCTCTGTGCTGACCCCTCAGAGCCTGGAGCCTGTTTTGGATTCTGTGTCTCCCTCTCTCTCTGACCCTCCCCCGTTCATGCTCTGTCTCTCTCGGTCTCAAAACTAAATAAACGTTAAAAAAAAAAAAAGATGACAAAGGAGAAGATGAGGGCTTTGGATTTGAAAATGAAAAAAGTATCATTTCGAGGAAATGGCTAAAGGGGATCTGTTGTCCCTAAAGTGGCAATTGGTGGCTACGTTACAGGGTAAGGACTTCCGGAAGGCCTTTGAGAGGCTACTGCATGTGGGAGAAGCAGCCAGGGTAGATATTCTGTCTTATATTTGAGTGAAGTAATGGTTAACCTCGTTAAATCCCTAGGTAGAGGAGAGAGCACGCACCCAGGAGGAGGGAATCCAGAGGGGTGGGGAGGGAACTCGGTGTATCACCTCACCGACAGCCCCTGTTCTTAGCCAAAATACTGAATTTGGCTCACGTGTGCCCCAGAACCAGGTGAAATATTTGCCAGGAGGGCAAAGAACATTGGAGAAAGCAAGAGGGAGACTCGGGAAGTGGAGAGATAATTACAATTAAAATTGTATGGCATTTAAAAGACAGGTGAATGGTTATAGACATGCCATGTATTCGGCAGTAAAGTCATCATTATTGATTCTAAAATATGTAATTATGTAAAATTATTTTTGTAGAGAAGGCATGTGTGAGTCAGACAAGTGAAAACGATGGACGTGTTAGGCAAAGACACGGTCTCCGTATATAAACACGTGGCAACAGCACTCTCATTTGAATAGAACAGAAGTCCTGTTTAAAATAGCCCAAGAGTTCTTCCAGTGCACTTCATCGACTATGTTTTCACTCGGGTTACAGAGAATGATGTCACAGCTTGAAAAAGTAGTAGGTGGGAGACCCCAAGCGTGGTGGTGCGTGCTCTTTCCCTGCCAGCTTGACCCTCTTGGCTGGGTGATTTGGGGCTCAAATGAAGCAACTTGGTCAGTGACACTGTTGCCCCTGATTTGTTTTTTCCTTTTTCTTTTGGCGGAGGTTCCCAATTTTATTAACGCCACGCTGCCACCGCAGGAGCGCGTCACCGCCCAGGAGATTGACAGCTACTTCCGCCAGGAGCTCATCTACAAGCGGAATGAGAGAATGGGGAAGCGGGTGAAGGCCCTTTTGGAAGAGTTCCCGGACAAAGGCTTTTTCTTTGCCTTTGGAGCTGGTGAGACATAGGTTACCTCTGCTGGGAGGCTGGGCTCCGCTGCTCCTCCCACGAAGGGACCCCGGAGGTGGGCTGCTGGTAGGAGGTGAGATGAGTGGCACCTTCTTTGACTTATTTCACTTGCAAAGTGGCTGGCTCCAGCTGATGCCTGAGTATCCAGCACTATTGAACCTTTGCTGGGTGGGCTGGTACCTGTGACATCACCATAGCTCTCGCTCCACGTGGTGTTCAAAACACACTCCCCTGGAAGCTGGGAAGGCCTTTCTCTCTCTTCCCAATTTGGCACTTAATCCCAACGGCTTTCTGGTACCCTTCACTTTTTTAACTTCCCCTAAAATTTGTCTTGTCTTCTGTCTCCTCTCTGACCATGAGCCTCCCAGGCTAAGACTTGGCGCTGATATGTCAGCCATTACCAACTCTTAACAGTGTACATGGAAACAGACTGGGAAAATTATTTCCTTTTGTGGACTTTTTGACATAAATTATCTCCTCTTCTTGAGTCATTCTAGCACAGCTTTGCACACTCCAGAATTAAAGACAGAAATGACAACAGGCTTGGGGCACCTGGGTAGTTCAGTGGGTTAAGCATCCAACTCTGAGTTTTGACTCAGGTCATGATCTCACATTCATGAGATGGAGACCCTTGTCGGGCTCTGTGCTGACAGCACAGAGCCTGCTTGGGATTCTCTCTCTCTGCCCCTTGCAACTTGTGTGCATGTGCTCTCTCTCTCTCCCAATAAATAAACATTAAAAAGGAAAGGAAAGGAAAGGAAAGGAAAGGAAAGGAAAGGAAAGGAA